CCCAGCCTGTTAGTGGTAGAATATTTACGTAGCATACATGAGACCCTCCATTCAGTCCCTAGAACCACCACCACCAAAAAAAAAAAAAAAAAAAAGAAAGAAAGAATAAAAAAAATGGCAGGAGAGAGGGACATGAGCTATTATTGCTGGATTCTGGGAGGTGTTAGAGAATACATGGGCTATTTATACTCTTATGCTTGTGGCTTGGGAAGATTTTACTAGGAAATCTTGGGAGAACTACAGAGTTCTACAAAGAATGAAAAGAGATACTCAGTATGTTCTCACTAGCTTGAGCCCCCTCTAGTACGAGCATGGCTGGTTTCCATCAAGCAACTTGTATGGCTAGTGGTAGTCATGCATGTGTCACTAGTGGTTCATGCAGCCTGGAAGCAAGACATGAATTAGAGCCTAGTTATAAACATGTCAAGGGTATGTTTGTTTTAAACTTTATACCTTTTCATAGTAACAAGGGAAAGTACCAGGGATTTCAAAAATGCTTTTGTTTAATACCTTTTGTCCTAAGGGCTGGCCAAATACCTCAGTGGATTAAAGTACCTGCAAGCAGGCACAGGGGTTCAATTCCCGGGCCTGCCATGCCAGCCTCATGCCCAGGGTGTGTTGAGATTACAGTAGAGACTGGGCATGGTGGCTTGTGCCTGTAATCCCAGTTCTTGGGAGGCTGTAAACAGGCAGATCACTATGAGTACGATCTAGTAGTGAGACCCTAAACACCCTATAGACCCTTTCCTAAAATACAGAAAAATAATAATAATAAAACCTTTTGCCCTATTACAAGGCTTTTCATTTTCCTCTCAGAGATCCTTTTGACAAGAATATTTTTCTGGCCATTCTCATTTAAAGAGAAAACAAACATTTATGTATGATTGTTGCTTTTTTCCGAATCATTTGTCATTTCTTCTGCTGTTTTGTCTCATTTTGTATTCCTCAAACTTAAAATTCTGGTAAAAATTTCTCATTCATTCTAATGAAATGATTCTTTGATTGATGCCTTCTAAGTTCTAGATAAACAATGATGAAAAACAGGACTGTCACACACATTGAGGCACAGCACAGTGAGGAGCACAAGCATTGAACAATCATGCAAGCCTCTGGAACTCAGAGAAAAATTCGCAAATGTGAACACAAGTCTCCTTCATAGAAACTAGAAATGAGACAAGATAGCCTTCCGTTCCCATGTTTTCAGATCCTTGTGTCACAGTCACTTAAAATTGACAAACCTGAAGGAAAAAATCAGTTTAGAAAATTTAGGGATAACAAATCCATTGTGTTTAGACATTGTTTTCTTTAATTTGATACTTAAAACCAAACAAGCAGAAAGTTTTAAACATGTGGTAACACTGTTGATATGTGTCTTAAAAGCAAAGTTTAGAGCTTGAGCTGACATGGCAGTGTAGTCCTGGACATGGGGTGGAGTGTCCAGGGAAGCCGTAAAAAGGTGTCACACGCTGAGGTCTGAAGGTAAAGAGCTCAGCAGAGTAGGGACGTGAGAAAGATGGGGCTGGTGGCCAGGTGAGGTGAGTAGGCTTCACGAAGGGAGCTTCCAAGGTAGAAATACCTACGAACATCCTAGGAAAGGAAACCATGGGGCATAGTCCAGGCATGTTAGTAGGTAGGCCTGTACAGGTAGCTGCAGTGTTGATTCATCATTGTCAATATTTGTGATATTTGGTTTACATTTATGTGTGTGTGTCCTGTGGCTATCTTAGTAGGTAAAATTGGAGGCTGAACCACTATATTTAAAAAGAAAAAAACAAAAAACATGCTTAATTCCTAATTATGTCAGCATGTATCTCTTAAAGTAGTAGTACTTTTTAAGTTCTTTAGCACAGTGACTCTTAATAGGGATGCATATTGGAATCACATTGAAATCTCCACCTTTTTTCATTTGTATATATATTTTTTAATTTATGTATTTGGTACAGGGTCTTACTATACATCTTGGACTCATAGTGATCCTCCTGTTTTCAACCTCTCCAGTGCTGGGATGGTAGGTGTGCACCACCACTTCTGGGCTTGGTCATGGCTCAGTGTGCCTCAGGGCCAGGCCAGCCCAGCATGGAGTGCCAGGGATTGATCCCCGGTCCCTGCATTTGCCTAAGCAGGTGCTTAGTCTGCTGAACTATCTCCTGGCCCTTTCGTTTGGATTTTAAAAGTATATACATGATATATTCTGGTGTAAAATGTTCAAATTTGCCCCGAAGGAAATAAAGGCAAGCCCTACCCAGCCACAGTTCAAAGTAAGGTGTGCAGATTTTCAGTCCTTTGAGGCATGAATGAATATACACACACATTTAAAAGAGTACTTTATGTGCATAAAATTGGACTACATATGACATATACAGATATTTGGGGGGGGTTCCCTTTCTGAGACAGGGTCTCACTATGCAGTTTAGACTGGCCTTAGCTTAGTTTTTAGCCCAGGCTGGTCTTGGAACTCTCTACAATCCTTTTTCAGCCTCCTAAGTGCTGGGATTATAGGTATTATTATCACCAGGCATGACTTGACACTGTTAGAGTTCTACTTCATTCGTAATAGTTATGTAAAATCTGAAATATACCTATTTCAGAAATTATTCATTATTTTTTTCATAATGTTGTTCTAATAAAGCAGTGAGTTCTTCTTATATTAGTTTATGCTAGAGTAAATTTCTAGAGTTAAATTGCTGTTAATGGGGGCCAGGGAGATAACTCAATAGAATAAGCACTTCTCTGGCAAGTGCAAGGGCCTGAGTTCAATCCCCAGTTCCTCAAAAAAAAAAAAAAAAAAAAAAAAAAAAAAAAAAAAAAAAAAAACCAAACAAACAAAAAATTGCTGTTAATAAAAAGAATGTGAATTGTAAATTTTGGAAGATACTATTATACTGTCTGATTTGTAGCTTAGTATCTTTCAGTCTTAAAAGACTGAAAAACTAGTTCTATTCCTACCAGTCTTCCTATTGCCAAGTGCTAGTTTGTTTGATCTCACCTGCAGCATGCATCTTCATAACCTTAGTAGCCATTTCTGTACCTTTGCATATTACGTTCATGTCTTTTGCTGGTCCATTATCAAAGTCTCCAAATACCTCTGTTTACATCATTGCCATTTAGATACCTATAATGATCACATTATATATGTTTATTCCCCCTCCATTACCCTCTCCTCCTTTCAGCTCTTCTTTCCTTATTTACAAAGCTTTGTTTGCATTTTATTCTTCTTTTATCTTTTTTTTCTTTTCCCTTCCTTTCATTTTCTTACTTCTGCCACCTTCGTAGCATATTAAACAGTGTCCCTGCTCTCTACTTTCAGTCTTTTCTCCACAGTGCAGTTCCTCGCTGTGCCACTCCTGCTTTCTCACTTTCCAGCAGTGTTCTATTATTCATTCGATAAAGAGCAAAAATTTTAGCATGATCTTCAGAGTCTTCCCTGCCCCCTAGGTCCTGGGCCATTTGCCCAATTTGCCATTTATCTTCTTTTATTTCTCCTAAGTCAGTGTATCATCCTTCCTCCTCAGAGCCTTGGTTTGCTATGCTTTTGCTCTTGCCGTGAAGTGACACAAGTCTTGTGCATAACTAATGCCTATTTGTGCTACAGATCTAAGTCACTGCAGGCAACCTCCCTCACCTCAACACTTAGATGGCATTTGATGTGTGCAAATATGTATACTTGCATACATTAAAATATACATTTAATAACATACATTATTGTTGTTTTGAAATATGAAAACACTGCTATTCTAGAATGCATTATATAACATGGTGCATTTATGTGCACCCTGTTGTGGGTTTCCCCTGCAGGCCTCAAGCTCCGTGAGGACAGAGCTGTGGCATTTTTATTTTATCTGTTCCCCATTTGTGTCTCCAGTGCCTGGCAGTGAGTGAACCCCTGAAGCTCATACTTGAGGCATGGTGTGGATTTGATCATTTAGCCAGCATTTATTGGGAGCTCCGAAAAGCATGTTGAGTGCTGTAGGAGGGAAGCACGGGAGGCAGGGTACACAGTCTTCACTCTTAAAGATCATAGAATCGTATGAGGGAAACAGAAGGAACTAACAGATGCACATTGAAATACCTGTCCTTGCCTTGGGAAAAGTACCTATGCAGGAGCTGAGCATTCATTCAAATGAGCACATTTTTGCAGGCAAATAGCAGGAATGGCCCTGTGTGGGGCAGGTAAGTTTTTGTCTTGTTTCATGTTAAGCTAGTTTTAGGGTAAGCTTACGTATTCAGTAGTGATCTTTTTTTTAATTCAAAAACAATTTTTATTTTTTTATATTTTACTGAGAAAGAAGTAGTAATGAGATAGTTTCAAAACAGGTTAGTAGTACAGTTACAATAATTAATACATTGCATATTGTTGTCTTTGTAGTAGCTATTCCTAGTGCAAGATGCAGACATGATATCTTGTCTAAACATTATTAGTTCAAAACCTTCTCATTGAACTAAGAGAAAGTAGCTGTATATGCTATTTTGTATACACAGATAACGGTAATAATCTTAAACAGACAGACTATTTTGAATTGTTTAACTTGAAAGATAATTACATGTTAACAAGCTGGGCAAACATGTAGTTGTGGGAAATGAGATCTTCGAGTAGTGTGCAGTGTAGATCCAAAAGGTGTCAACATTTAAAACAGGCTATTTCTTTTACCAAACAGTTTCTTTTCCCAAAGGTTATGGTAAGCGGCTCTTTAATAGCAGCCCACGGCTTTTTGTTTAGATGGAAGAGCGCGGTGTCAGGGAGTCTGGTTGGGTCATGCGGGTGAGCAGGGCCTGCTGTCCTGCATGTTCCTAAGCGCAGGTAATGGAAATGTGGATGCCTCTGTGTGCGCGTCAGCCTTGTTGCCTGTGCATTGCAACTGCATCTAACCTGCTGTTTTCCTCTCCTTCTGTCTCGGCATGCTTTCCCTTTTCCTGGACATCAGGAGCAAAAGCGTATAGATGGCGCCACCCGTGAGGTGAAAAAGGTTAGAAAAGCCAGAAACAGGCGCCAGGAGTGGAATATGATGGCATATGACAAAGAGCTTAGACCCGACAACAGGTTGTCTCAGAGTGTGCACCATGGAGCGTCTTCCGAGGGATCCCTGTCCCCAGATACTAGGTGTGTGTGTGTGTGTGTGTGTTTGTATGTGTGTGTGTGTATGTGTGTGTTACAGCCCTTCCCTGGTGCTTGGCACCTCTGTGTGCTTCCTAATTTTACTGTAACACGGAATGGCACCAGCAGTTGTGGGTTGATGTGGCTTGCAGTAGGTTTCAAAACTCTTTTAAAAATGATTTATATATTGACTTTGAATACTTTAAGGCAGTATTATTTTAAATTGGATTGCTTTGTCTATTTTTTTTCTCTTAAATTTACTGTTTAGTTACTCTAGAGGTAGCATATAGGGGTAATTGGTAGTGACTTCAGTTTTTACTTTAATCATTTAATCTTTTAGCTTGGAATTTTTAATTTCATCTGTTATTCATTACCTAAAAATAATAGGTGGTGACTTACTGTGACTTAGAAATGCCTTCAGTGTTCTTCTTGATAACTCTTTTAAAAAATGATGAAAAAAGTTATTGATTTCGTACTTCTGATAATTAATCTTATGCTTTTTTTTTATGTATTTGGCACAGGGTCTCACTATGCAGCTCAGACTTGTAATGATCCTTTTATTTTCAGCCTCCCCAGTGATTGGATTACAGGTGTGCGCTACCATGCCCTGTCTCGGTGCACCCAGGGGTGGGGCCCACGTAGCATGCTGTGCCAGGGATCAAACCCCAGTCCCTGCACTTGCCTTAGCAAGCACTCAGTTGTTGAGCTATCTCACCAGCCCTAATTTTATGTATTTTAATTTTAGTATAAAAATTCTGGTGAAGTTTAAAAATGTGGTCACTAAGTCACATTTTTCACAGAGGGATTCACTGGATGAAAAGATCTGACTGATCAATTTAAATTTTGTTTTAATGTCCCTCTTTCTGATTTTGCGAAGTTATAGTCTTCTATTTGCATTAAGTCTCGAAGTCTTCAGCATTTAAAAATTTGAACGGAGAATTGTTTGTTAATTTCCATTTTTATTACTATGTATTTGCAGTATGTAATGATTAGAGTCACTGTGCGGAGTTGAAAATGCACATGACACACCCTAATCCTTTCTGCATCCTTCCCTTCCTCCCCTCCCTCCATCGTTGAACAGAAAATTTGTGTGGGAAATAACTTGCTGAAGAACTTACCTTGTAGTTACAGGACTGCCCGAGTAGGTCTGTAAGTCATGGGCCAATTTGATGGGGCTGATCCTTGGTCATTTGCTCGTACAACTGTTAACTGTTAGAAAACCGTAGGCATCTTGAGTGAATTCTAGCTGGATGTTTAAGTTTTAATGTCACTTTATTTCTCTAGACATAAAAAAGATGATGCCATTCTGCTTAGTTCTTGGGGTTGGGAGAACTCTGTGAACGTAATAGTTTCCACTAATGTGAATTTGCTATCCTGTTTTCCCAAATGATTTAGTTGTGATTATTTACTTATGCAAAAACATGTACTTTATTTTTATCCCATGCATTCTCTTCTTTTAACCAAAGCAAATGGGAAATAGATATTTTAAATCACTTGATTGATTCTTACTCTATTGTCTGGGTTTATTTGCTAGATGCTGTGTATAAAGTTGATGGTTATTTAGTGTTCTGCCTGTTTACATTGTTTAGCTGTGTCTTCATTTCTGTGATTTTTTTCAAAAAGCAAATTTATGTTTTATTTCTTAAACATTGTCTTCTATTCCTCCTCACTGTTTACACACATCATTACTAACAGATAAGTCACTTACAGCTCACCATTGTACTTTGATTAGATCCTTTAAATTAATTTAGAAAGTTTTACTTTGTATTTTACTGAGGTGTGTAACTTTTTTCTTATGAAATAAGACATAATTTTTTTTTCTTTTTTTTTTTTTTTTTGGTACCAGGGATTGAACTCAGGACCCTGCGCTTGCCAGGCAAGCGCTTATTCTACTGAACTTTCTCCCTGGCCCCAGAACATAATTCTTATATTTTTAAATTAGATACAAATTAAATATTCATAATCCTCTCAGCCATAGAAACCACTCTGCATTTTAGTGTCTGTCATCTGTCTTTTTCTGTACATGCTTTTTTCTTCTATGAAATTGGAATCACTCCGTATATCTTCCTTGACTGTTGTTTTAAAAAGGTGTTTTATGTTTTAGGTACTGTTTGAAACTATGGTTTTGTAATGCTTATGTCCTGTCACTTAAATGTGTTTCCCACTACTGAGGGAAATCTAAGAGTGAGTTTCATGACATTCATATAGGTGATACACTTTATCCCAGCCTGCATAAACTAGTCCTAGATTTTTGCCCTCGCTAAGAACATGAGGGATGGCTTGTCTCTGAGTGTGAATTGAAGATGTGAGCTGCTGACATCCTTGCCTCCCGGGCACCCAGCTCTCTTTCAGTGTGCCCAGGGAGCACTGTGCCTCTGTGTTCTCTCATCTTACTGGGGCCTCTATTACAGCACTCTCACCCTGCCTGCCTGTCTGCCTCAAGTTCCTTCATGTTTGTTGGGTCTCCTGCTGAATCTCCACAGCAGATCTGACTTCTTTGTGTTTCAATGCTTGTGTTTTCACCTGCACCTTCTCTTTTCTGCAGACAGCTGCCAGTCATCACTGAGCTGCAGGACTACCCTGCATCTCTTCCTGTGGTACTGGCTGTGGCTGGCGCCCACCCCACCCCACCCCACCCCTCCTCTTTCCACAGTGCCCTGCTGCTTTCCCACTCCTCCTGCCTGCCACCACTCACTCTTGTCTTCAGGTGCTCCACTGTGCAGCTGAGCAGTCTCCTCTGCCCTGCCCATCCTCCTGGTGGCCGTTTGGATCACCAAAGCCTCTACCTTTGCTTTGGCCTCTGTCTGGTTAAGTCCCATTGTCACAGAGGTACTTCACAAGGATTGCACTTTCTGTTGCACCACAGGATTTACAGTTTTTGCCCTGCCTATCCCTCAGAGGCTCTCTGTGTTTTCCTGGATGACTGTTTCCTTCTAAAAGTGGCACACACAGCCACTGGCTCAGGTACACACAGGCAAGCACATGTCTACCATGACCCTGGAATAGAAATATTTGTATTTTCAAAATGTTCTAAATATAAATGCAGATCAGATTCTTCTCCCATGAAAAATCTGTTTGACTCAACTGGGTGTAGTAGCACATACCTGTCATCCTAGGTACAAGGTAGGATGGTAAGTTTGAGGCTAACCTGGGAAACAGTGAGACCCCATCTAAAATTATTTTTAGGGCTGGGGAGATAGCTCCACAGCTTAAGTGTCTGCCTGGCAAGTGCATGGTCTTGAGTTTGATCCCCAGTACCACACACACACACACACACACACACACACACACACACACACACAAATTATCTTTGTGGGCTGTAGATACAGCACTAGAACTATTCCTTAGCCATGCACAAAGCCCTGGGCTCCTTCACCAAGATATATCTCCATCCTTGATAGTGACTCCACAATATAGAACTCATAACTGCAGTTAGAGAAGAAAAATAAATTATTTATGACTACACTGTAACTAGGGGAAGAAAGCAGGCTCTTTTGCCTTAGTCATCTTTTCTGTGTCACCAGCGGTGCAGTTAGGGAAGCCGCTGTCGGAAATGCCAGGGATGGAACGTCAGCGTGCACCTTTTTTGCTGCTTGCTACCACTTTCCCAACGTGTCTGCCTGTTTCCTTCAGAGGGAGAAACACAAGCTGAACCCTAACAGGAACCAGCAAGTGCATGTGAGAAAAGTCAGAACAAGAAGAGAAGAGTGGGAGAGAAGGAAAATGGGCATTGAATTTATGAGTGACGCAAGGAAGCTGGAGCAGGCAGGGTGCCCGAGAGAGGACAGGCTGTCCAGAGGGTTTGTGGTTTTGCTTTCTTTGGACTCCCAGCCCCAGGCCATCCCGCTTCAGCGCCATGAGCCGTGTGCAGCACTACTGACTTCACACCATAACCCAGCCTCGGCATGCACTTACTAAAGCCTGTGTGGCCACGCCTGCTGATCGTTGCTCCCTCTGGGCACTGGCACCTTTTCCCTCTCAGTTCACTAACACCAGGTTTCTGTTGCTTTCAGAGTACTGTACCCAACTGTGTGTTCAGAGAAAGTAAGAGGGCCCTTCCGTGGTGTGTCATGTTGCTGCTTTCTCTTGGGCTTAAATACATGTCTTCTGTTCAAGAAAAATACAGTGCACTTGTGTATTCTGGGTTTCTCTTCCTTTTGTTACTGTTCATGTTTATCCAGCTCACCTGCCATTCTTTGTTTTCTAATTATATACTGTCAGCTTCATTGCCACTGAAATCCTCTGTCTGGTACTGTTTCCAAATGAAATGGGGTTTGTCTTGTAGCCTTGTCTTTCAGAGAGGAAGTATGTGAAGCACTGAAAATGAGGCTCTGCTCCCTCTTGCTTGCTGATCTGTTTTACTCACTTTAGAGCAAAAATCTGAATCCACATAACACGGCTTGCTGCTGAAATAGTAATTATGTTGTTGCTCAGAAGTTCTCGTGGGGCTAGACCTAGTTGATGATCAAGGAAATATGTGTCTTACTTCTGTGCCTTGGTACTGTAATTATTTATATATATATGCTTCTGTCAGAGAACTTTTTTTACATGTAGTTTACATTTCTCCCACTGATTCTCTCTAACACCAGATCCCATGCTTCAGATGTTACGGATTACTCTTACCCGGCCACCCCCAACCATTCTCTGCACCCCCAGCCGGTGACCCCCTCCTGTGCTACTGGCGATGCACCACCACATGGGGCCGCAAACCAGGCTTCTGAGCATGAGTACCGGCCCCCGTCTGCCTCAGCAAGGCACATGGCCTTAAATAGACCTCAGCAGCCACCTCCGCCACCTCCTCCTCAAGCCGCAGAGGGGTCTCAGGCCTCTGCACCGATGGCCCCAGGAGATTACGGGTAAGTCAGTACTCCTCATGCCCTAGCTGCCGCTTGTCCTTGCACTTGGATCTTCCTATGTGTGGTAGAAGAATTATAAAAAAGGCTTCTTTTTATTTTGATATGTTGAGTCCCCCTCCCCCTTTTTGGCTTAGTTTTTAGGTGTTCTCCCTTAGAGCCGGTGTCGAGGAAATTTGAGTACATGCCCCTGGTAAGAAATATAATGAAGGGTGATTGCACAGAGACAGTACCAGTGGTGACATACTCTGTATTAAGTAAGTGTGGTGTCACAGTGCTGAGGTCTGAGGTCAGCATCACATCTGCTTTGCACATAGGCTGTGTGAGTTTGAGTCTTCAAGGCAAGTCATGCCTTGAAGGATGAATGCTGCCTGGTGAACTGATTCCGATTTCTCTTTATGTCCTGAGTGAACCGCACACAGTGCTTGTCACATAATGACAAAACTATATAATGTTATTTCTGTTTGACCCTATCCTCTCTCGTCTAGACTTCTAGGCTCTGAAATTGCTTGGTCCCACAGCCTTTTATTTCTGTCTCATGGTTAGCAGTCCAACAACTTTCTAGAAAGACTTGCCTTTGCACATAATGGTCTATATGAGTACTCGCCCTTACTGTGGTGGGTTAATCTCCCTTTTTTGCCCATACCGTAGTTTTTTAAGGATCGCTTTCCTTAGAATCAGTGTCCAGGAAAGCTACCTAATGCATATCCATGGCCCTCAGAGGCATAGTCACATAATCCTGCTTGTTTCTATCCACCAGCCCTAGTGAAGCCAGGACACCCTGAAGGTGTCCAGAGGCAGAAAGTGTCCATGGTTTAGTTGGCTGAGAGAATCCTTGGCAGAATAGAATCTAGTTGGTTTCTTTCCTGTGGAAAATTTCAAAGCTTTGACTGTTCTGCAAGCACTATGGACTTGGGCTTCCTTGGGCTTGACTATGTAGGAATTTTCCAGTTTGGTTGGCCACAGAAACCTCAAGAGACAAGTTCATGAGCCTCACCTC